CCCCCCGGTTGTTACACCACTGTTGTTGAGCAGAGGGTAAAACATCCAGATAATAATGTATCCTATTCAGATGCTCTGAGCTGGCCCCGGCAAAACAGCACAGCCTAATGTGCAAACCTATGACTGTTCTATACAAGGGCTGCAGTGTTTATGAAGGTGGGCTGACATTTTATTTAAAGTGCATTTTTGAAGTTAGGGCTCATTCACAGAGGCATATTACGTAGGCTCTTGCTGCTATCTTCAGCTATAGGGTCTGTAATAGACCCTATTGGCTGCCGCTGCTGCTTGGGTCTGGCATGTAAAGATCAATATCATATGTGTGGCAAGCGGCGCTGACTTTGCTGATTACACACTCTTGATGTTTACATGTTGGCCCTGAATGAATTAATCATGCAGCGGTGGTGCATGGGGAGAATTACTTTGGCCAGTCTTGGAAGGCCACCACCACATGGCTGACTCATTCAGGGCCAACATGTAAACACTAGCTGTGTGTCCTCAGGTAGTCAGCGCTGCTGGCTACACATTGCTCATATTTCCATGTCAGGACCGAGCAGCGGCAGCAGCCAATAGCGTCCACGTACAGTGTATGCATGTTAACGTTATCATAAACATTCACATTTATACAATCATAAGCGCCGTACAAATTACAGCCCTGGGAGTAGTCCTGTCCTCATTTTATTTATGCTGCTAAATGCAGCGCAACATTACACTGCCCGACGCAGCTGTGTGAATGGGCCCTATAGACTTCTATATTGCTTCCCGACGCAGCTGTGTGAATGGGCCCTATAGACTTCCATATTGCTTCCCGGCGCAGCTGTGTGAATGGGCCCTATGGACTGCTATATTGCTTCCCGACGCAGCTGTGTGAATGGGCCCTACACACTTCCATATTGCTTCCTGGCGCAGCTGTGTGAATGGGCCCTATGGACTTCTATATTGCTTACTGACGCAGCTGTGTGAATGGGCCCTATAGACTTCTATATTGCTTCCCGATGCCGCTGTGTGAATGGGCCCTATAGACTTCTATATTGCTTCCCGGCGCAGCTGTGTGGCAAACTTACTTCATCCATCCAGGGCATGAAGTGCTAGCTCTGAAAGGTACCTGACCTGTGACAAAGTGTAGCAGCGCTAAGATGTTGGTACTGGAAGCACATTTATTATACTGGTGTCCTCTGTTTAAAACACATTTATGTGTTGTCTCCATCCCACAGGTCTCTCTACTGAAATCTCAGCTTGATGAAGAGCGCACTCACCGCTCGCGTTACATTCAGCGCTGTTCGCGCACTACAGATGACCTGATGAACCTCCGATACGATCTTACTCACTCGCTGGCTGCAGTGACTTCTGATACGCGACCTCAGGTACTAGAGAGAGAGACAATTCGACTGGATGACACGCTGAACCGCAGCCGCAGCCTCCCCAATACCTGACCGGGTATAGTGCCGGTAAAAATATGTAAGAGTCACCGGCGCAGGAAAATATGAGAAGTCCATGGATCCTGGAACGTTTCAGGTGTTTTCAAGAGGGCACCTGCTTCCCTTGGATGAATATTAACTCCGGACAAGTTGCGACGACAAATCAGCGTATGTTACAGGGTCCAGTATTTAGGAGCCATTTATAAAATTAGCTCAGAGTGTTAGTATTTTATGGTGTAGTGTTAAGAGTGTGTATGGCTAAGGGTTCCTGGTTGAATGCCATGGCGGGGTGTGTTGTATAAACACTGATTCAGGAATACAATCAGTGTGTGTGCGTGCGTGCGTGTGTGTGTGGCGCCAGATACAGTTGAACTATCTAGTACTGTGCATCTAGATAAAGCCTAATGCAGGTCATTGTGCGGTTCATAGAGCAATATCAAAGTATACAATGTTATGCACTATAGAGTTCTGCGCTGCGGGTCCCCAGTGATGGCAAAGCTCTTAGACCCGGTGCTAGCTCTCCCTTCAGCTTGTCCCAGCTGCACATGACACTCCAAGAATGGAAGCTGCACTATGGTGCTTAATCCCATGACAAAACGTCATTAAACACACGGTGCATGCAATGCCTGCTCAGGCTTCTTCTAACATAATGAAGATGAAAGTGACTGTCTAGCTGTTGATAATAAGGATCCCTATTTCAGATTTTGTACTTGAGCCTAAGGCCTTGTTCACACCAAATGCAGAGCAGATCCGGTCAGGTTTCTGCACACGCAGTGCAGTGGGTTGTGCCGCGTTTTTGCCGCGTTTTTGATGCGTTCCGGGCCGGTTTTGGTAAAAAAAAGTTTAACATGGGCTTTCAGGCACTTGCATGCGTTTTTGATGCGTTCCAGAGCAGGTAAAATAGGGCTTGCCGCAGTTTTTTCACCTGCTCTGGTCTGGATCTGCACGCTGCGATGTGAACTGGAGGTCACAATACCATAGGAATACATTGGAAGCAGTTTTGATCCGGTCTGCACCTGCTCTGGTCTGGATCTGCTCCGCGCTTGGTGTGAACAAGGCCTTAAGGTGCCCATACACCTTACGATTATCAGACAAAACTTTTTGTCCGATGATCAAACCGTCGTACGATTTTCGTACGACGGCCCCATCCTGCCCCGATTATCGAAAGGTTCAATCAGCGGTAGTTTAAAAAAAACACCTGGACGACTTGCGGTAATTGACCGCAATTATTTTCGTTTGCGCATGCAAAGTGTTAATCGTACGACTTTTGACTGACTGAAACGCCACCAACCATGCGAACATCGTACGATCGACCAAAGTTTTCAAACATGCTTGACCGTCAAAAGTCGTACGATTGTACAGTACTATCGGTCGGGGACTCTATTCACACGTTACGATTGTCGTACGAAAAGTCGATCGCATACGATTATCGTACGATAATCGCGGGAAATCCCGCGATCGTACGATTATCGTAAGGTGTGTGGAAGCCGTGCGACCTCTACTACTGTAAGGTTGCACGACTTTTAACTTACGAACATGTTCGAAAACCCGCCGAGCGTCGTATGATGTTCGGCGGGTGTGTAGCATGCTCGTAAGATAAAAGCGCACACTGCCCGTTCGGCATTGCGATCATCGGAAGCCCGCCCCTCAGGGGGGCGCAGCTTTCGATCATCGCGAGTACGATCTTCCTGTCCAAGATGGGCAGATTGTACGTTTTTTTTAATTACCTTACAACCATCGCAAGACAAAAGTCTTGCGATGGTTGTAAGGTGTGTGCCCAGCATAATGCTACAGATCAGATATCTGCAGTTACATGCAATGCACTGTGACGGAGAGCCCCTTTATTCCTGATGAACTTTTCATAGGCTCGTATAAGCTCCTTATCGCCACAGTTTAAAAAAAGTTGCCCTTTCAGCACATGTATGAATGAAGTCTAAGGGGCTCGTATATAACAGAGCAGATAAGGGGATCTGCTTTCCGTTATACGTTACAGGGTCATACACTTTGGGCTTGCATTTTACAGCTCATTCATAAAACGCTGGCCATGACTGGGATGTGGTGCACACTTAATTCAGCAGAGAGAGCTCTGTCATTGGAGAAGACCGGGCCATGTATCTGGTCATCCCATTCATTATTATTATCCCTTGCTGGCTTCAGGATCCTGAAGCCAGTGCAGGGCAATGCACATTTGTAAAGCACACCACCACTGTGCCTCATGTGTGCGTTTTGTCTTTTTAATGCTTTTAAATGGATCCCTAATTGTTACCATGCATGGAGGAGGACGGTGTGTGTTGTAGTGTGTTGGTGATTCAGGGGGTAAGTGACACAGACATGCAATAGTGTTATTCAGGGTATGTATGGAATTGGGTGCCTGGTCAGGGTATGTCTGGAAGTAGGTGCTCAGTCAGGGTATGTCTGGAAGTAGGTGTCTGGTCAGGGCATGTCTGGGAGTAGGTGCTGAGTGAGGGTATGTCTGGAAATAAGTGCTCAGCCAGGATATGTCTGGAAGTAGGTGCTGAGTGAGGGTATGTCTGGAAATAAGTGCTCAGCCAGGATATGTCTGGAAGTAGGTGCTGAGTGAGGGTATGTCTGGAAATAAGTGCTCAGCCAGGATATGTCTGGAAGTAGGTGCTGAGTGAGGGTATGTCTGGAAATAAGTGCTCAGCCAGGATATGTCTGGAAGTAGGTGCTGAGTGAGGGTATGTCTGGAAATAAGTGCTCAGCCAGGATATGTCTGGAAGTAGATGCTGAGTGAGGGTATGTCTGGAAGTGGGTGCCTGTTCGGGGTATGTCTGGAAGTAATGCTCAGTCTCGGTATGTTTATTAGTAGGTGCTCAGTCAAGGTATTTGTAGTGCACAGCCAGACTTTAGTGCTTGGAGCTCTGGGCGCTCTTCTTCAGATCAGGGTATAATTAGTACAGGGTCAGAATAGGGTAAAGTTGCCCATATACATGGTACACAGAGCTGACCACAGAGTCATTGTTACAATTGGTATATAGATCAACACAAACACTTGCCAAGTGTGCTGTGCATTCACATCATGTGCTAAGACACCCTCCTAGTTCTGTTGATTCCCCCTACACAGTATTCTTAAGAGATCCTGTTCTACCAGTAAGCTTATATTATCAGATAGGCCATGGTAGCTTAGGGTTTCGGCATATAAGCTAGGTAACCAGAGGGAGGGCCACATTGCCATGGAAGCTATGTTACAAGGAGAAGCATGTTACAAGTAAGGGAGGATATTGTTAGAAGAGATGCTCAAACCTATTGCATCAATGGATCCGAGTGCATCTTTGCCATTTTCTGTCCAATGCAGAAATCACTTTTGCCGTGCAGGTCAGCGCATACCTAGGTGTCTGTTCCCTATCCAGATCTTTGAATGATTTGGACTCTTCAAGGGGAATTGTTACATATCATGTTAGGCCCTTTAGTGAAGCATCTACTATGGGGGCTGAGCAGAGTGAAGAAGTGTCATCCTTCTCCAGGGAATATAATCTATTATTTCGGCACAGCTTTTTCACCACTTTGCCCCATTTTTCTGAAAATACTTACGATAATGGCCTCCACAAGATGATGTATGGCGATGGTAGGCATTGACAGAAAAAAGAATGCTATTCTAGGGGAAGAACAATAAATATATAGTTATCGGGTTCTAAGGGGTTTAAGGTTTTTTTTCCTAGTTGTGGAAAGAATCGGGATTGATCAGAACTCCTGACAAATTTTTACTGCTCTCCAGAACTCTATTAGAGGGATCTCTCTCACTTCCTGTCCTGCTGACAATTGCTGTTTTATTACACAGGACATGAAAAACTCTCCAACAGCATAGAGTAGGGGAATGCTACAATCTCTTGTCAGTTTTTATTTCTGTCTGTGTAAGGCCTCATTCACACGGGGCATGCACGCCCGTACACAGCCGATCCCGGCAAGGACAGGTGCTGCGTTTCACACGTCTGTGCGGCGTGCACGCCCATACACGGCCGATCCCGGGAAGGAACAGGTGCTGCGGGTGATTGAGTGCAGCAGCCTGTTCTTCTCTGTGGGAGGACGCGGCCGTACGCCGTCATATGCACACCCGAACTGCACATCTGTGCGGGTCCGGGTGTTCTCACTTGGACGTAGACAGGCTGCGTCCAAGTGCGGACACCCAGACCCACACAAATATGCAGTTAGGGTGTGCGTATGACAGCATACGGCCGCGTCCTCCCACAGAGAAGAACAGACGTGTGAACCCCATGTGAATGAGGCCTTAATGTTGTAGATTTTTCCCTTACTTCCTGAGTGAAACTTATCACCAAGACAGGAAGTGAGGGAAAATCTCTAACGGTGCACCAAATAGCAGTACTAACTAGATGGAGTTCTGATCCTTCCATGCTCTATCCAAAAAAAAAATGTTTTGGGGTGACATACACTTTAAGGAGGGCTGATCTTAAAGCTGAACTCCAGCTTTGCAATTTTAATAAGCCTCCAGATTCTCCCCCCGCCTCCTGTTTATATTGCACTGCCATAATTATATATACATACATGTATTTGGTCCCTAGATACTTCTAGGCTTGTGATGTCACTTGCACCACAAGCCTCCCTTTGGTCAGGCTGCGGATGGGGAGTTGCAACACCCGCTCTGTATATCTCTTCTGGGACTGCAGGTCCCAATGCCTGGTGGTAGCGTTGGGATTGGGTATTACAAGGGGCTGGTTATCTGTTGGTGGTAGCGTTGGGATTGGGTATTACAAGGGGCTGGTTGTCTGTTTGGAATAACACCCCTTGTCTGACAGCTTGGTGTTACCAAGAATGTTATGCACTGAATGATTTGAACTTTAGGTTGGCCAGAAACTAATAGATTTCTCATGTTTAGCATGGAGGGTGGAATCGATCTAACTTGCTGAGTATTCTTTGCCGGCATCCACCACTGTCGGAATACCCGAACCATAACTGCAGCTGATTGGCTGCAATGACCGGACTGACAATTTTTAGCCCAGCTTCTTTAACAAAAGTAAATCGAGTAATTGTTTTTTACT